TAGCTGTAACTTCTTTTTGACTTACTGGGCTAAGTCATGAGGGGAGGAAAGATCAGGATCACTCTGAAGAATGTTAAATAGTTGTATCAGTTGATGAGTGGGAATTCCAAAACTGGGTTGAAGCCAGTTGATAGCACGTAGCATTTTTTGAAAATCATTTGAACTAGTCAATTGGTCCTTCCTAATAGAGGGCCTATGGGGCTTGATAGTATGCTCTGTTGCCCATCAACTGAAGACTGCATAAAGAAGATTTTTTGTTTGTTTGTTTTCATAAAATGGAGAACTACTCAGCCACAAAGAATGAGAAAACTAAAGACATTTATAGTTAAATTGATGAACATTGAAGCCATACTCTTAAGTGAAATAAATAGAACACATGCATAAATACTGAACAGTTTCTGTGGTGTGAGAAACTGAAAGTGTAAATGAGGATCAACATATATAATACATTAGGTAAAATAGGAAGAAAAATTCCAAAGGGGAAGGTGAAGGGGAAGTGGTAGGGGTAGGGGAAAGGAAAGAAGGCAAAAGAGTAAATAGGAGAAAAGGAAAAAATGGAAACAAAGTCTTTGATAATAGGGAGGGGTGGAGGGGTTGAAGGGAGGGCAGGGGAATGGGGAAAATAAGAACCAAGATATATCATGTACAGGTACAAATTCCCAATGATAAGTGTCATCCTATTGTATACCTAAAATGTACCAGTAAACTCAATGAATAAAAAAAATTTAACCCAAGTAATTTTAGGGGAAGATGTTTTTGTACGTTGCAGGTGCTACAATCAGCCTGAAACTTTGGACTTGTTCTAGTAGTTAATGCTTTAGATTTTAAAAGTTTAAAGGGTTTTCAGCACTGAACAAGATATCATCCATGTAATGAAAAATAACTGATGCCACTGTTGTCTGATGGGTGATAGTGCCTAAGCCACAAAAGTTTGACATATTGTAGGACCATTAAGCATACCCTGTAGCTATCTGGACAGTAGCTGAGTTGCTGATGGAAAGGTAAAAGCAAACTTTTTACAATCTTGAGGGTCAGAGGAATGGTAAAGAAACAGTCTTTTAGATCAATCACTACTAATAGCCAATCTTGGGGAATCATGGAAGGGGGAGGAAGCCCGTGGCAGGGCCCCAATAGGTTGGATAATTGCACTGCATAGCTTGTGCAGAGGTCCTGCAGTAGTCTCCATTTCCCTGACTTTTTTGGTATAACAAAAATAAGGACTGTAGGGGGTTTCTATATGTCCCTGTTGTAAGTACTCCTGTACTAAGAGGTGAGCTTGATATAATTTCTCCCCTTTTTGTGGGCACTGCTTAACTCAGGTTGACTCCTGTGAGCCAGGTGAGGAGAAGGGAGTCCTACGTCCCAGCAGGAAGGGGTCCAAAGACTCCAGGGGGACCTTTTGAGAGGCCTCTCCCTCTATCAGCTTAACTTCTATTCTAGTGAGCAAGTCCAATCTGGTGCTTCCCCAGTGGCGCAGAGGGAAAAAGATGACTTATTTCCCATCTGATTGAAGGCTATCACCTCCATTAGGGGCAGACCCTTTGGGAGTTTCCTGAAGAGAGGATTGCTGTCCTTATATTTAGAATGGCATTGATTAGCCCAATGGTTCCTTTTGTTTTCATCAAGGGCAAGGCCCAGGGCCTGAGAAGCATTAATTGGCTCAGCAGTCAAAGAACTTCTCTTCTATGTGCAATCCTTTTTTAAGGAATTCCACAGTGAAAGCAAGTAGCACTGTCTAAAGCAGTAAGGGGGTAGTTGGACTATTTTCTCTGATAGTCTTTCTTCTGATCTCTTTATAAACCTCAAATTTTAGGGGGGTATGTATATTGTTCAATTTTATATTTGCACAGGAAATCTATAATCTCCCTGAGAACTTCCTCTCTCATGCAGGCTGAAAGTACAGATTGGGCCATGGCATGGCAGTTTTGGTGAAGGTGGTGGAGTTGTCCATTGCTCAAGATCTTTTGAGCTAGGGATCTAGGGTGTAGAATGCTTAACAGCTGACTGATTAGCTTCCTTAGTTTTGTTCTGATTAGCCAGGACCAGGGCATCATGAACAAGACCCCAGGTTGTCAGGCTGGCCACTGACTGGTACATTTTTTCCTTGTCTTTGACTGCTCTTCAGATTTTCCCCCACTCTGTTCCATATTTTGAGGTCTAAGGGGCAGTCAGGAAACCACAGATTATGTACCCTCTAAAAGCATAATAAGCTGTTCTCTGGTGACCAGAGGATCTGCTGCCTTCAGTAGCATGCAAAACCTTGATATAACACTTGCTCTGTCATTAGTTCCAAAGGTGCCAAGAACCCCTAATTGATATCCAACATCTGTTTACAGAGTGTTACTTCCAGTTTCACGTTCCTTTGGCTTCTTGGCTCACCAGTGCAACAGCTTCAGGTTCCTGTTTGGGTGTCACTTGCTGGGTTCAGGCCAGCAAACTCTTATCAGAGAGATGATTGAAGACACCACAGACAGAATATTTTTGTTGGGGGTCAGGACCCTTCACCAGAATAGAGTGAAACCCTGAACTGACTCAAACCCCCAGATTTATTGAGGAACAACAAAGCACTAGAATTTTGTTTGGTGCAGATACTTGTTTTAGTTAGCCAGGCAGGCAAGCAAGGCATGGTGACAGTTTGGCTGAATAATTAACTTTTATCTGATTGACCCCTTGGGAGGACACCCCCCCCCCCCCCCCCC